TGTCCAAGTGAGGTCCTCACTGATATGGACGCCCAGGGATTTGAAGCTGCTCACCCTCTCCACTTCGAGTCCCCAGATGAACGGTGGCTGATGAGATCTCCTCTCCTTCCTCATGTCCACTATCATCTCCTTCGTCTTGTCCATGTTGAGGCTCAGATTATTGTCCTCGCACCAAGACACCAGACCGGCCACCTCCCTCCTGTAGGCTGCTTCGTCCCCGCCAGTGATGCGACCTATCACTGCGGTGTCATCCGTGAACTTCAGGATGATGTTGTCTTTGTGGGAGGTGACACAGTCATGGGTGAACAGGGTGTAGAGGATGGGACTGAGGACACATCCCTGTGGGGTGCCAGTGTTTGTAACAATGCTGGCTGAAGTCCTATTGCCAATCCTGACAGTCTGGGGCCTGCCAGTCAGAAAGTCCAGGAGCCAGTAACAGAGGGTGGGGTGCAGAACCAGTGTGGATATGTTTGGGTGTGGGCAGCTGCAATTACCTACTGTAACTAATCACTGTGTGTGTTTATTTGGTGTTTATTTATTTGTGTGTGTGTGAGAGAGAGAGAACAAGAACAAGTTTTATAGCGAGACCAGCAGAGTGATGATATTTCTTCAGAGTTATATAATCTATGCAGACCTTCAGTTGTTCCCAGGCTTTAGGGGAGTTTAAGACTTGGTTTCAAGTTAAAATACGAGGTAGTTTCTCTGTTTTGTGGGGTGATTTCTACAGCACGTGTGAAAAAGGTTCTATGAAGCCTTTTGTGGCTCCAAAGTGAACTGTGCTAAATCTGATAAACTGACCCAACTTATGTCACTTAAGTCAGAAAAATGAAAAGTCCAGGTGTGTGGAGTGACAAAGACATGAGCTTACCAGACTTCTGTAGCTCACTCCCACATTAGCCACTACTAGCATATCACATGTGGCTCTACAAACTGTCAGCAGTAATGTAGCTGCTCATTTTTGACAAGGAAAAAGAATGAAAGTATGGAAGAGAAAGGATGGGTCTGCTGCAGTCAGATATTTTTATAACTGTCTGTTGTCCACCAATGGTACAGGAGAGCGATTCTAAATTTGTGGGGTACTCTTTTAAAGGGCAGGGGTAAAATTTAGAAAAAGCATCAGGCTTCTAGACTGTGTGGACTGTCTTAGAATATGAGAAGAATATGTTATCAATATGGTGTGTGAAATGGTCTAATAATCTGGTATAGGTTATCTGTTGGAATCAACAGGCAAACAAACAAACAAACAAAAAAATTCACCAATTAGACCAGAAAACATTTTCGCAGTTGTATAAAAGAAAAAAAAAAAAAAAAACATTTCAAAAGAATAAGTTATTAAGATGCTGTTAAATAAAGTCTCTGAATCTCTTCATGTTTACAGCTGCATTGCAGGACTAGACCTTAATCTTTGAAAGACCTTTAATGTTCCAGTTATGGATAGAAGTCATATGTGTTCTATGTTTCTTAAGCCAAGATTGTAGAAAAGGAAATTATAGATATAGTGAACAAATGTGGTAATAAATCATCCAGCGATAGTGATGGTATCAGAATGACAATGGTTAAAAGAGTGATTTTTTGATTTAGTGGGATATAAGACTGCTGTGTTTATGTATAAAGCCAGGAACAATTTATTACCTGGTGGAATTCAAAAACTATTTAATGAAAGGGAAGGGGGATACAATTTAAGGGGTCAGTTAAATTTAAAAATTCATGCTATACGTACAACCAAAAAAAGATTTTGTATTTCCATAAGTGGGGTAAAACTATGGAATAATTTAAGTGTAGACATAAAAAATAGTAATAGAATTGACGAGTTTAAACATAAATATAAAGGTATGTGTCAATCAAGATATATGCAAGAACAGGCTCAATGATTAACTACATGGACTATTGTGGGTGTGGTGTATATTTTGTAACCATTCCTTAGTATATCACTGGTGTGATGTAAGAATATTAACACTGTTATATTCTTTTTTAGTATAATTTGGGTGTGTGTAGTAGTGAATCATTTATTGCTTGTAGTAGTGAATCATTTATTGCTTGCAAACCAATGATGGTAAGATGATGTCATGGGGTAGGACTGGATAAGTCTGACTTCTTCCTACTTCCATTCAAGCATGTACTAGGTATAAGCACATTGATACTGGATTATGTGTAAAATTATGTGTGTTGTCATATCAACTGTTTTATATGCTTGAAAGAATAAATCAAATCAAAGTCCACGAGTTTAATGATATTATTTTTGGTTTGGATCCAGAAAATGTTATCAGAGCATCCAGTATAGCTCGACTGGCTCTGTCATCTCCTCAGATAGGTTTCTGTGAAGTATGAATGATTAATGCCCTCACACTGATATGTGAACGACTCACTATTTGTTAATGTTTGTTTATTTATTTTATTTTCATGTTTATTATGGAAATTACTGTAGATTAAAAAAAAACTCAAAAATAAAAACACACCTATTAAAGGTAGATACACAGACACAGGCATAGAATTTGCAAATACTTATTTTAAAAATCCTTTTATAAAAATTGAAATGCTTCTAAAATTGTTCATATGTTGTTATAATTATTTTTTAATACTTTTTAAAACCAAATGACAAACGTTAAAAGATTCTGCAGACATGCTCAGGAGGAGAATCCAAGGAGCAAAATGTCCCTTGATAAAAACATAGTTGTTTTAGTTCCTGCAAAAACTTAATAGCCATAAAATATAAGCATAACAGACAACCACCAGAGCCACGTCTTTTTAAAGCTGGGAGCTTGATTGTTAGGTGGAGTAGGATCTTGACTAGGAGATCTGTCTTGTGGGTCCTGGCAGGCTTTGGCGTTGTTATCAGGTCTTAGATTTCCAGGGTTTCCCTCGAAATGGACTGGCAGGCATTGATTTTCCAGCACCTCACAGGCCAGGATCAGATGTTTACTTTCCTTTCGGACGCTCCTGATCCCACAGGTTCCCTGTTCACTCCTCACTGTGACAAAAGTGAAAGGCTGCCTGCTGATGCAGAGGTTCTCCTTGTACACCTTTCCCCCTCTGTTCGTGCACACAGCCTTCACCTTCTCCAGGTCATTTTTATCGAGGAAGGACTGCGTTGGTCTGTCACAGCCCCCGTTATGCATGATGTATTTCTGCCATTCATTTTGGTCAAGAGTATCCGGAGTTTCTGAGCGAATGTGACGTTTGAGGAAGATCTTGTAACCATTGTTCCATTTGGAGAGCTGGCAGGGAGCATCATTTTTAGCAAACGTTTGATGAGAT